TATATGTGTGTGTGTGTATATATATATATATATATATATATATATATATATGCAGTTACTTTAAAAGAAGAAATATATTTTAAGACTAGTAAAGGCAGGCTGGGTGGTGGCTCACACCTGTAATCTCAGCACTTTGAGAGGCTGAGGTGAGCAGATCATGAGGTTGGGAGATCGAGACCATCCTGGTTAACATGGTGAAACCCTGTCTCTACTGAAAATACAAAAAAATTTAGCTGGGTGTGGTGGCACATGCCTGTAGTCCCATCTACTCGGGAGGTTGAAATGGGAGAATTACATGAACCTGAGAGGTGGAGGTTGCAGTGAGCCCTAGATTATGCCACTGTACTCCAGCCTGGGTGACAGAGCAAGACTCCATCTCAAAAAAAAAAAAAAAGAGTAGTCAAGGCAATGACAGTAAGGAAAAATTTGAATTAATGTGTGAAACTGATGGTCAGGTGGAATAATCATGGGCTTCAGAGTCAGAAGTTTAACCTGACTTCCTGCTTGGATGGGCAGTGAGGTCTAGGGCAAGTCACTCATTCTGCTGAACCCCAGGTACTGAAAAATGGAGCTGTAAAGGTGATGGTTATGATGACAATGACAGCGATGATGATCGATGGCAGGAGTCCATGGAATTCCTCATATACTTAACTATATTGTTTGCTATTAAGGAAGTAAAGTTCTAGTGTTAGAAATGAAAAGATTCAAGACCAAAAAAAAAGAAAGAAAAGAAAATTGAAAAGCAATAGCAATTATATACAGAAGAAAGTTAAATGTCAAAACAAATTACTTGTGAATAGTTGATATTCCTATTTGATGCCACATGATAGTTATGCAATGAAATGTTCTTGGGCCTTAGCATTTTAAAAGAAAGGTAATAGTATTAATAACAATAATAGTGATGATGGTAATAATGCTAATAATAACTGCAGCTACCACTTTCTGAGCATCCACGATGGCCCAGGCAGTGTCATGCTTCACATTCACTGCCTCAAAGTCTCCAACAGTCATGTTTATTACGCGCACTTTACTCATGAGAAACCTAAGAAACCCTCTGTTAATCTTCAGAGAGATTAAGAAGCTTGATCAAAGGTAAACAGGTAGAGATTTCAACCTAGGTCTTTCTGGCTCTGCATTCTGTGTCCGTCTTCCTGTTGGCGTAGTGAGTTCATCCTAGGATGCTGAAACACAGGAGCTGCGATGATCCTTGGAGATTGCCTGATCTAGGCCCTTCTTTTTAGGGGAAAGGAAACAGAGACCCAGAGTTGTGAAATGGGTTGTCTGAGAGCATGCAGTTAGTTACTAGTGAGGTCAAGTCCTCGAACTGAAGGCCCCCCACTCAGAGTCATAACCTGTCATCTAAACTAGGCTGCATCTTTGGTTTTGAATTCCCATGCTCTTGTGCAAACAGACTGTTGGTTTTGTTCCAGAGAATTGCAGGGCAAATTTACCCTTCCTGAGAGAACAGCTGGCATGTGCAGTGTGAAGTCTGCTATCGTAGCACACCCTGGGTTTATGGTGGACTAGCCTCTGGCTTCTATTAGTGACGGAATGTTTGGCTGTGAGCAAATAAGGGAGTGCACTGAAAATCAACCCCTAGATTCTTGTTTATTAGCAACTTCCAGCATGAGCATTACATGGTACTCACCAACGTGGGAGCTGGGATAGCACATTAGTATGCTCACAGAAGCTCATCACATCCTAGGGTCCTTTAATTCTCACAATTAAATGGCAAGTTAGCTAATGTATTAGCCCATTGAAAAGATGAAGAAACTGAGACCCAGGGGCATTAAGAAACTTGTCAATATTTAAAAAAAGAAAAAGCCTACTAAGTTCTGTAGGAAGATCATAGCCTTCGTTTCTTGATATGTTTGATGATGCCAGAGCTGATATTTGTAACCACCACATACACCTGCACAGCACCTATAGAGTTTTGCACATATAGAGGGTTGGGGTGGTTAGAAAATAAAAGCAGTCTTTGCCCTCAGGAATTTTACAGCCTAACATGGGACATATACACATTCACAGGCATAATTCATTATAATACTGTCTCCAATAGATCATTGATTTTTTTTTCAGGTATCGTTCTTTGAGATTGAGAATCAGCTTTAATTTTTCAACATGGCTATGCAGTAAATTTTTATCCTCATTTTACAAATGAGAAAACTGAGACTGAGAGAGGTAAAGCAAATCACCAAACTTTCTGTAGTTAGTAGGTATTAGAGTCTTGATTCAAGCCATGGTGATTTAACTCCAGAGTCCAGGGTCATAATCACTGTGGTCAAGGATATGAACAGGTAATTTTCAAAAGAAGACATTTATGCAGCCAACAAATATATGAAAAAATGCTCATCATTACTGGTCATTAGAGAAATGCAAATAAAACCACATTGAGATACCATCTCACGCCAGTTAGAAAAATCATTTAAAAAGATCATTAAAAAAATCTGGAGACAACAGATGCTGGAGAGGATGTGGAGAAATAGGAACACTTTTATACTGTTGGTGGGAGTGCTAATTAGTGAAACCATTGTGGAAGACCATGTGGCAATTTCTTCAGAATCTAGAAATAGAAATACTATTTGACCCAGCAATCCTATTAGTGGGTAAATACACAAAGGATTATAAATTGTTCTATTATAGAGACACATGTACATGTATGTTCACTGTGGCCCTGTTTACAATAGCAAAGACTTGGAACCAACCCAACTGCCCATCAATGATAGACTGGATAAAGAAAATGTGGCACATATACACCATGGGATACTATGCAGCCATAAAAAAGGGTGAGTTCATGTCTTTTGCAGGGACATGAATGAAGCTGGAAACCATCACTCTCAGCAAACTGACAAAGAACAGAAAACCAAACACTGCATGTTCTCACTCATAAGTGGTTGTTGAACAATGAGAACACATGGACACAGGGAGGGGAACATCACACACTGGGGCCTGTTGTGGGGTGGGAGAGCTAGGGGAGGGCTAGCAGGGGTTGGGGGGTTAGGGAGGGATAACATTAGGAGAAATACCTAATGTAGATGGTGGGGGATGGATGCAGTAAATCACCATGGCACATGTATACATATGTAACAATCCCACATGATCTGCACATGTATCCCAGAACTTAAAGTATAATAAAAATAAAAATAAAATAAAGTAGGGAATCCAAAGGCAGAGACATTTAAAATGGAGAACCTGTTGCCCTAAATCCTCAACACTGATTCCAGTAAACTTTCCTGCCAAAGAAGAGCAATACAGTGTACAGTATTGGAGGCAGTGTGCTGAGCAGTCCAGGAAGGGAAGAGCAGTCAGACCACCAGGGGTTAGACCCAGCCTTCTCCATGTGAATATGGTAACTGCTGTACCTGAGGAGGACATCTTGGCTCTTTCTTCTGCGTCTTGACTACTATTACTGAAGGAGCACCTAAACCTGATTTATTTTTAAGAGAAAAGTTTTATTTTATTTGTTTCTGGGAGGATACTCACAGATGCTAACAAAACCCACAGAGACTGGGGAAGTTATAAAAGCATCAGAAAAAAAAAATCTCGTTATTACATTTTGCTTAATACCAGCTAACAAAAAAATTTGTATTAAATAAATATGGCTGGGTGCGGTGGTTCACACCGGTAATCGTAGCATTTTGGGAGGCTGAGGTGGGCCGATCACCTGAGGTTGGGAGTTTGAGACCAGCCTGACCAACATGGAGAAAAAAATAAAAGAGTTACAAAATTAGCTGGGTGTGTTGGTGGCACATGCCTGTAATCCCAGCTACTCAGGAGGCTGAGGCAGGAGAATCACTTGAATCCAGGAGGCGGAGTTGCAGTGAGCCAAGATCACGCCATTGCACTCCAGCTTGGGCAGCAAGAGTGAAACACCATCTCAAAAATAAATAAATAAATATACAAATGGGATTAGTTCCATTTTTTTCCATAGTCCCTTCATAGACAAACTTATGTAACTATTTGTTCATATATTACATTATGTATCCACACACACATATATATTTGACATTTACAAAAATCTATTCATTTTCCACAATTCCTAAGAGAAAGAAAATAGAGGCATTTTCAACGTAGCCAGCTGTCTCTCCCTTATAGGTTTCCAGCTGCGTTTCTTTTCTTTGGACTGTGGCAGAATGAAAGGAGGCTTGGTCTGGCTGTCAGGTTACTTCTACTGTTTATTAGCTGTGTGATTTGAGCAGGGGTCCTCCCTAGCTAGGCTCTAGGTTTTTGTTTTTGTTTTTTCTCTCTCTAAAAGCAGGGCTTGGATTTAGCCACTGGTTTCCATGTTGCACTATTGCACTCTGGGAATGGCGGGTAGCAGCTGTGGAGTTATTGGAGAGGATCTGGGAATCCATGTGTTGGACAAGTTGAGGGCTGAGCAAAATAATACCTCACACATGTCTGTCATATATGCGTATGAGGATTCTGTTGTGACTAGCAAAATGCAGTTAAAAGTGTTATGAAATTTTTCCTAATTATAATCTTCATAATTTTCTTAATTAAAAAATTAAAATACGACTGACTTTTTTCCTAATTTTGGTCATTATGACATTCTTAAGGAACACACACTGAACATTCTGTTAACATGAGGAAGGTATGGATACATCTTCTGTATTGGAAATAGGTCTCACAATTGCAAAGGGCTGAATGATTTATTGGGTCCTTTCCAGGGTTAACATTTTGGAATTCTAAATTGCAATGCTCCAAAATGGTAGCCACTAGCTACATGTGGCTATTAAATCTAAATTAAGTTTAAAAAATGTAATCAGTTGTACTAGCCACATTTCAAATGTTTAGTAGTTTCAGAGATTGGTGGCTACCATACTGGACAGTGCAGATACTAGAATGTTTTCATCATTGTAGAAAGTTCTTTCAGAAAGCCCTGTTCTAGGAGAACTGAATGACCTTATTAGTGTGTTTTCCTTGACATGAGATGGTCTTATGGTCTCTTCTAAGGGTATTTTTAGAAGAATATGAGTTTGAACCTGAAGGCTTTTAGCTTTTGGCTCTGTCACTGAAAGGGAAGAAGATATACATCAGTGGGTGGGGAAGACTAAGAATATTGATCCACTTTGTGGGACAGTTTGCTTTGCACTTTTGATTGCACTTAGTAACTTGATGCTTGCAAACAGCCATGTACACCAATGAATGTTGATTCAGCCACACCCCCAGACCCAGCAAATAGCCTCACCCACTCAATTACTCAGAAACTCAGAAGCCTGTGCCCAGGATCTGGATAAAGACAGATATCAGGATTTTGCTGGTTCCTAGCCCAGAGGAGCCACTAAAAAGAGGAAGAATGGAGAAGCCATCCAAAGCCAAGTAACGTATTTCCTTCTCTTAACAGGAAAGCTTATGGGTGTGGCCAGTCAAGGGACTGGGGGATAGAAACTAGGGGGTCTTCCTTCAAAAACTCCGTGGGTTACCTAAGACTTAAGGCTTAGTAGAAAAAAAATGGGTCAAGAGGGACAATTGGGCCTGATCATGCATCTAAAAAGACACGATTCCTCTTCTGATGAGTAAATAAATAATCTTCACTCTAGAACATTTGGAAGATGTAGGCACTAAGAGGATTTTGATAATCACTGGAGGTAATTATTGCTAGTGTTTTGAATGTTAAAAAAATTTATTTTCATTCCTTGAACTGAACTATAAAAAGTATGACATTGCTTTTTTTTCTTTTTTTAAATCAGGGTCTTTCCTTATTAAATTGCACTAAACTGGAAAGCCAACTCAAGCTTGTGGTTTCTTTTCTTGCACTGGTCATTTCTTTCTGCTTCAAAGTCTCTCTTCTCAGGTTGTAACTGAGAGCTGAGGTCTGACGTTTCTGTTGCAGGGATGATGTCCATTGGCCTCACTCACAGACCCGTTTGGGGCTCTGCTGGGGCTAAAACTTTGCCTCCATGGCCATGACAGCCAGGGGGTGAGGGGCAGTTTGTCATGTGCTTCAAGGGTGGCCTTGCTTTTCATTTGGTTTGGGGAAGGATGAAAAGGATCTGGACACTTTTTTTTTTTTTTTTTTTTTTTTTTTTGGGAGACGGAGTTTCGCTCTTGTTACCCAGGCTGGAGTGCAATGGTTCAATCTCGGCTCACCGCAACCTCCGCCTCCTGGGTTCAGGCAATTCTCCTGCCTCAGCCTCCTGAGTAGCTGGGATTACAGGAACGCACCACCATGCCCAGCTAATTTCTTGTATTTTTAGTAGAGACGGGGTTTCACCATGTTGACCAGGATGGTCTCGATCTCTTGACCTCGTGATCCACCCACCTCGGCCTCCCAAAGTGCTGGGATTACAGACGTGAGCCACCTTGCCCGGCCAGGGTCTGGACAGTTTTTAAAGTGAAAAGAAACTACTTGTCTCTCTTCATCTGCAAAGTGATTTGGTAGAATTACATGGGTCCATCACGAGTTCAAACAGGACACAATTGGGATTTAGATAGAATTGGGCTGCTGATTTGCTATTAAAATTCAATTAGTCATTAATTAAATTGTTATTGACCAAGTTATGAATATGGTGTTTAGTAGGCACTAGGTCCACAAAAATGGACCAGACCAGATCCCCCTCTCAGAACATTTACAGATTAGTGGTCTTGATCCATAAAGCAATGGACAGTCACAATCTGAGTATTACAACAGAGGAAAGCTCAGGATACTGTTGGAGCCTAGGCAGGGAGAGGCACTTAATTCATTTTAGAGGGATCAAGGACGTCTTCTTAGAGGATATGCATCTAAACTGAAAAGTGAAGAATGAACAAAAATAACATTTTTGAATGTGGAGGTGAGAGTGGGGGTGAGGGAGAATGTTCCAGATGGCAGGTACAGTGTGAGTAAAGACAGGCAGGTGAGAGGCAGACTCTATCTGGGAATGACAAGTCCAGTGAAGTATAACCTAGGTCCATTTTGCATATTTTGCTGGTAAATGCTTGGACAATAATGTTTGCTTGAAGGTGAGTCTGTGTTGATCTCTGAGGGTGCATTTCCTTCATCCCTAAGTGTAAACGTCACCTGTTCTGAAAGAAGACTCAGGGTCAAAGCTGCCTTCTTCAGGCAGCCCTCCTAGATTTTCCTCTGGTAGAAGTAAACTCTCCCTCTTCTGAATTCTCAGAGTGCTCCTGTCTTCTTGGAACTTTCCACTTTTATACAACAGTTGCTAACAAATATCTCTCCCTCTGCTCTCCTGGATTATAAACAAATTGAGATCAGGGACAGTCTTATGGTCTTCCAGAATCTTGCATGGTGCCTGGAACAAGGATGCCCTTCAACACAAGCATGTACTCAGGGAATGCTAGCTCATGATAAGGACTGATGGGTGCTGCTGTCTCAGGTACGTTTTGAGCTTTTATGATGTTGTCTCCTTCATTGAAGGTTATCCTTTTCTCTCCATATGTTTGCCCTGCTCTCTTGCCACAGTTAGGCCCAGGATAATTTTTAGAAGAGGATAATGGCAATTAGTTCCATTTAGTCAAGCTGGTTGAATTCATTGGAATGCAAGTTTTAAGTGGCATTATAAAATAGTTCTTGGAGTAAGGGCTCTGCTTTGGGTGAAGAGAGAACAAGATTTCTCATGTAGGTAGCAACTCTTAGTGTTGTGGAGGTTTTTAGCATTTGGATGCATCATGGTTGGATATATTAGTTGATAAAATAGTGAAATACTTCCATGCCAGTAAGTGAATAGCTCCTGCCTGGGGCCCACTGAGCGCCCTTCTGACGCCCAATACCCACTTGCATCCAGCAATTAATGTGGCAATGCCTGGTTTAGCAGGAGGTCTAGGGTCCTGCAGTAGCGCCATGGTTGAGTCACTTCGACAGGTCAATACCCATGCCACTGGCACGTTGACTACCACCTCTGCTTATCACGTATGTGTCTGTCAGTGATACTGAGGCATTCCTCCTAAAGCAAACAGGATTTGGGGGCAAACAGGATTTTGGGTAAAAGAGCTGATTAGGAGACGCACAGTAGAGCGATTCCAACCCGTTGATTTTGATCATTTACTAACTGCATCACCTTAGGTATGATGTTTCACTTCTACCTCTCGGTTTCCTTGTCTGTAAAAGAGGGATATCAATTCATTCCTTTATCCATCCATTCATTTGTCCATTTACCCACCCTCCCATTTATCCATCTGATAAAAACCTGTGCCAAACTGGAAATGTTGCCTAATGGTGACCAGACACACATTTAGGGATTCAGTTTGGGGGACTTGCCATAAATCTAGTTTTCAAGGTCAAGTGAGACATCAACAGGGAAACTCATTTGAAACTGCAAAGGACTTGACTGATGTTAAGGTGTCTGGTACATCAATAGTGTCCACTCAAAGAACAGGTTGGGGCACTGCTGTACTATAGCATTCACTAAGGCCCTTCCGCACTTGAGGTATTCATGACGTTTGTCTAGATCTCGGATAGGGCCAAAAGGACTAGGAGTCAGTCTCCATTTAACTATTTGTTGAAAGTCTCCATGTTCCAGATGTTATCTCCCTCCCACCAAAGAAAAAAGATAAACAGCTCTAAAATCTTTGCTGAATGTAAAAATAATGCACAATCCTTATATAGATGTGAAACAATTCAGGAAAAGGTGTAAAGACAAAAAGTAATATTAATCCCAAATTCTACCTCCCAGAGAGGAACATGAATTTTCGATGTAAAATTCTCTTCAGGCATCTTTCACTGCATATATACATTTTTACACACAAATTCTTTCATATTATTCATGCTGTTCTAGAAGCAACTTTTCCTCTGAACGTTATCAGCATACATGGAAAGTTTTATTACTGGGAAAATGACTGAAAAGAAATGTTTAACATTAAAATGGGTTCTATTCTTTTTGGTTTCTTTCATCGTAGCATTCTAGAATTCTGTTGAATCCTTGTCTTGCATTTTCCCCTTGAACTAGTGAAGTTCGTGCTTAGGTCCTGTACAGTGGACATCTTTTCTATTCAACAGACAGGCCGGGCCCAGTGTCTCATACCTGTAATCCCAGCACTTTGGGAGGCTGAGGCGAATAGACAGCTTGGGCCCAGGAGTTCAAGACCAGCCTGGGCAACATGGCGAGACCCAATCTCTACAAAAATACAAAAATTAGCCAGGCATAATGGTGTGCATCTACAGTCCCAGCTACTTGGGAAGCTGAGGTGGAAGAATTGCTTGAGCACGGGAGGTGTAGGTTGCAGGGAGCTGAGATCATGCTATTGCGCTCAGCCTGGGTGACAGACAACTGTCTCAAAAAAATTCAACAAATACATACTTGGACTGCATAATATTCCATTGTGTGTGCAAAATTAATTTATGTAATTAGCCCCCAGTTGATAAGTATTTGAGACATTTTCCATGTAGTAATCCTACAAGTATCATCCTCATGTATTCAGCTTTGTCTATGTGCAATTACATCCTCAGGACAAATTCCTAGGAATGAGAAGGCAGAGGTCAGAGGTGTTTAAACTTTAATTTGTATTCGTGTCTGGGGCTATTAAGGGACAAGAGAAGTGTAGGCTGTGGGAGGTTGAGGTTTAGCTGAAGTGTTGAGTCTTAAGTCTCATGGCACAATCGAAGAACAAGGTAGAAAGTGTTTAGTAGAGAGCTGATAGTGAATGCTGTTAGGTGGAGGGGTCACCAAATGTTGGAAACAGTTTCAGTAGTGAGTGAATTGACCTTGCTTTGGAGTTCTTAAGAATGGCATGGGCGCATCAGATAGGGCATTTCTGGGAGATTCCGGTGTAAAGGCGAAGACTGGGGCTGGATTCCTTTCAGTTCAACAAACATTTAGAGAGTGCCCCTCAGGTTCAGGCATGGCGTAGGGAGAGAAACACAGCAACCCCAAGGGCTCTCAGTCCAGCAGGGGACATACAGTGGTCAACAGGACCTGTACCTCAGAGTGGATGACTCCGGTGGGATCCTGTCTCAGGGAGGCAGTACAGTGACTCTAGGTGGACAGAGAGGGCAGGTAGGCAAAGAGAACACTTCACAGGAGAGCTGGGCTTGAAGGAGTGAGAACGCCTCAGGCAGGGAGGGAGGCAGAGGCCATCCTGAGTCTCAGAGGTGGAGAGGCTGGAGGCCAGGAGAGAATGGGGCACTGTGGTCCAGGCTTGCCAGAGCATAAAGCAGAGAATGGGAGGGCTTGTCCTTTGAGGCTGTTTCCCATACCTGGGGCCAGCAACCTCTTCTCATGCCTTAGGTTTTTTTATTCCGTTACTTGTCCAGGCTGGGCTTCCTGGAAGGGAGGACTGCTTTGCATTTATTCTTTATGCAAAGTAAAGCTGTCTAGGAGGCATATGATAAAGGTTAATTGTGGAGGACTCGGCTTCAACAGCAGGACCTCTACTTGCAA